TACTGGTCGGCCAACGAGTGATAATTGTGCTTGGGGGAGCAACTTCATCCTGAAGTTCAGCCAATATTCGTTATACCTTATACAATTCCTTTCCTTCTTCAAGGTGCTCTTGTTCTCTGATTCCGACGACGAAGTTAATCTTCTATCACGACCGTTGTCACGGGCCTCATTCCGCTCTGAAACTTTACGTCAACAAAATGATGATACACTGACTAAAGAGGCAAGGCAGTTTGTACTCGTACGCATTTAGTAGCTGTTTTGAAAGAACGTTCCACATTTCTCGTTCAGGAAGTACTCCCCGAGAAATCCATACCAAATCAGTTGGTCGACGAACGAAAACAACCAGATACACCGAGATCACCATGCTTGAAGAGAATTCATTTCCAGCGAAAGGTCAACATCATCACACATTTTACTTCGTTTCCAATACTGTAGTACTTACCTGCGAATTTTCAGCAAGAGCAAGTTCAGCAACGAAGTAGCGAGCTGTTTAAATTTGACGCTCGACATGAAGCTAAACCCGAGCGTCCAAAAGAAGAGAGATGCACTGTGAGTTCTTTTTATTCATATATTTTACCTTGAACTACAACCTTTACCCTACGCTAATGGCGTAGAATGAATATAATTTCATAAAGACCCTTCTTCCACCCCACCCCCTCTTTCAACAGACAACATAGAGAAAATCTGAAAGTTTTTGTAACCCAAGCGGTCCATTTGTACCATTTCGTAGGTTTTCCAGTAGTTCTAAGCGAACTGGACTTGTTCTTCAACATGAACTAACTAGAAGGGACAAGGCGGAAGCGCTAAATGCCGCTTCCAAGCCCACCGCCTAACCGTCCTCCTACATTGGTACGGCTGATCCGGGCTACGATTTCTTCACTCAATCAGGCACACAACTTATTGGCTTCTTTATGCTCCTTTACCATATTTTGACCTTTTCCTTCTACGCTAGATAACTTGGCGTCTGAGTTTGGTTTTCTGGATTATGCAGAGCGTGTTTGAATGTATTACTATAAATAGCAAACAATGAACCTTCATCAGCGTCGTGGTTCAGGAAGAACCGCCTTCACGAAAGGAATCTCGAGAAGAAGCTACGCAGACACCCGACTGCGGTCTGCCACGAATCGGCGACTGCTTGTCGCGTTTTCCTGCGTTTCGTGGCTCTGCCACACACTCAACAGAGGTTTGACATCGTCTTACTGCTCACCGTCGCTTAGAGTCCTTTATACATGGTTTCAGAACAATGGTGCTGAACTGGTTCAAAAAGAAGCTGCAGTCACTGAGAACCCGCTGCGGGCAACTACGAAGGAAGCAACCCGTGGTGACGAGCCGCAAAAGCCCACTGTGCATGTGCATCCGTTCACGCCGGACGTACCGTCACAAGTGCCTATCCTCCGAACTATAACAGGTACCACCTATTCTCGGATCTTCTTTGGCTTGCGTACTGCATAAATCCCCTATCTTCAAAGACAAACTGTACAGTCACCTCCTAGGACGGTCCTTGCATGCACGCCAAAGCAGCTGTAGCTTGCCTGTTTCTCGCTCAAAAGTGCACGGGAGGGGGTAGTAATACCCGATCGCCTGTCTCCAACTCCGTGCGCGCTACCTCATTGTGCCACGAAGCCTGTACAGATACTTAAGATCTCGCAGCGAACCGCTGCACTCAGCGATAGAGAACGACCTGAAGTGAAAGACCGCAGACAAGTAGCGTATTTGGCTATGGTTAGGCGTGTGGCAGGTCATGCAGCGGCGCGGGCGCAGAGGTCCATCCGGTAATGATCATATTCTCAGCATCATTCGCGATGCATGCTTGGAGGCTAAAAAGCACGACACTGCAGTTGGGCAAGGCGTACACTCTGCATATGCCAAAGGAAGTAAATCCCACGAAGTGGGTTCACCGGTTTGCTTCAGTCACCTGCCCGTATTTTCTCAATTCACACCGCATTTTCTTTGGCTACCATAATGGCCCACCACAATCTCCCACCCCTTGGTTGTTCAAAAAGCAAACAGCGTGACGTACAAGGCTCTTTTCGCTTAATTACTTTCTTCTACTAGCAGAGTTGTTACACACCTTATCGCTGATATGGAGAAGGCGTAACTATGGACTTCATTTAAACATGGTTGAGATGCGTTCCTAGTGGTATATTTTCATCTGATACAGCTGGCGTATTGTCCTGTACTGAACAAAAGTAACTGTGCGAACGCGAGAGCGTTTCATCAGAAGCGCAGCCGCAACCACGTCCAAGTGAAATGCGCAGCCACGCCTTCCCCTTCTCTGAGACATGAAGATTAGGTGGGATCACAGCTTACGGTGTATTGAGGTGCTATCTTCTGCTCCATAAGCAAATGCTGACAAATGAAGTGTTTCTCATTTAGACTAGCAGTTCTCGAGCTCTTACACTCTAGGAGTGGAGAGGACGACCCGCTTAGAAGCAGGACTTTTCTTGACACTTTCTAGATTCTAGTTACCAGAGATAATTTGAAAGTGAAGTAAAAAATAAATATCATTGATGCTAAAATGGGCGAGAGAAGTCGAGAACCTCTGAACATCTACTGTTTCCAGAACGATTGCAAAGCCTTCGCGACAACCAGCTTGACGTCGACAGTTCTCCTCGACTATCTCGAAGATCTTTCCTGGCTCCGGATGAGCCAGTACGCTTCAGAAATTCCTACATCGAAGTAATTGAGTCACCACGGTTGTCGAAGAAGCTCTACGAACCAGACCCATCACCAATGACTTCTCGTCGATTAATAGATAATCGCGTCTCCCACGAGGACTTATACAGTCCTCTATACAAACCGCAAGAGTTCCCTTACCGCTCGGAGCCACCTTACAAACATTTCGATCCACATATCATCACGGAACGGTTCTCTTCGTACTGCATTGAACCACCAGCTGGTAGGTGCTACTCATTTTGTTGCGCAGGAGCTATGTTATTAGTGTGTGCATTTCAGAAGAAGAGCTCCGAAAGGAATCGCAAGTGAGGCGAGTAGAACTTGGACGGTCGGGATCGCAACGAAGCGACAAAACCCCTCCCGTTGTGCAAAAAGATATTCACAGGTATTGATCATATATTTGAATACAGTTTATGGCCTCGCTACCGAAAAAATCGCATGTAATGTAAACGTGAACCTGTTCAGAAAGTCAAACGACGACTATTTAACGTAAAAAGCTCTTTTCTGGTTGGCTAATGCCGTTTGGACTCCAGAAATTTCGGCACCGAGCTCATTTTTAAATTGCCTAAGTCACCAAATCCGCTAAAAACTTGTATATAGGGGTAGTTTAACATCCTGATTACGAATATGACATTCACTCTTGTCGCTGGCGCTAATGGATGACACTACGATTACCTCCTGGGCTCAGCCTTAGCAGAGCGCAGATAATCGTAGTGTCATCCATTAGCGCCAGCGACAAGAGTGAATGTCATATTCGTAATCAGGATGTTAAACTACCCCTATATACAAGTTTTTAGCGGATTTGGTGACTTAGGCAATTTGAAAATGAGCTCGGTGCCGAAATTTCTGGAGTCCAAACGGCATCTGCTGCCGAGGTTGCCA